CTCCATGTGCCCACCTGGACTGTGTTTGGAAGGAGACATAAGAACCTGATAACATTGGTTGTTTTCAGGAAGGGTTATCAGGTGTCCAGGAGACTGGGGAGGGAGGGAGACTTACTTTCCATTACATACCTTTTTATTTGTTTTATATTATTGTACTATGTGAATGTACTAGCTACTAAAAACTAAACAATTAAAAAAAGGATATCATAGCATTTAATCTTCCTTTAATACATAATTCCATGTTATTTAAAAAGTGTTAATTCCATTTTCGTTTTTATGTTATGAGTCCACTAAAAAAGATAGGAATATACACATATAGGAATATACACATATAGAAAAAAGTCTGGAAGGAAGAAAAGCAAACTGAGAATAGAGGTCATCTGAGTGTGAACTCAACGTTCCCTCGAGTTCATTGAGGTTCTCCTTTGCCAAATGTCAGAGGCATCCCAGCCAGAAGTGCTGCTAAATACCTTTCTGGGAAAGACTCCTGTGTCTGGGAATTTATCAGAAGACTTTGGAGCGACTTATAGGATGTAGCAGGAGTCCCATCACAGAGAATCAGGGTTGAAACAGGCAGGGTAAACGAGTGAACTCAGGTTTCCGCAGGTCTCCCATCTTTTCACCCCAGGAAACCTACTGGTTTCATGCCCTGCTCTACTAGTGAGAGAGGATGACTGCAGAGCAGAAGAAGAGTCTGGGGTCAGAGATGGCCAGAAGCACTACTCTGACATTCATCTCCACCTTCCAGATCCACAGAGAGCTTGAAAATACTTAGGGCCCCCCAAAGGAGCATAATGGGGGTTCATGGCAATTTCACCCAGCTCTCAAGGATCTAGGAAACCCCAGATGGCATACAGGTTACATAAGCATGCTTATTTTATGAGTAACAAGTCCCACATATAACCAAGTGCTTGCCTGCCTCACCACTTCCTCCTGGTTTTAAGGGCAGTCGATGACAGAGATATGATCTTCAGGGTGGTCTGAGGGACCAAAAGCCTTCCCTTCTCCAGACAGCCTGCACTAACCATCAGACTGATCAGTTTTTCACTTTTTGTTTGTTTGTTTCCTTCTCAAATCATTTGGGTGTTTGCCTTGCAGACTGAGTTTCATCCAAGATAGACTTTGGGCTACCAGCAACACTCAAAAAATAGATCCGGTAAAGAAAACCCGTAGTTTACATCCTTAAAAGGCCTCCAAAAAGTTTTTACAAAGTATTTGCACCTGTATTTAATTTGCTTAATCCTTAGTGGGACTCTGTGGAAAGCAGAGGAGAGATTCTGGGATGGCAAATTAGTTTCCTAGCTTTGCTACGAAGAACCACAAACTGGGTGGATTAAAATGTAAGAAATTTATACTCTCACAGTTCTGGAGGCCAGAAGCCTGAAACCAAGGTGTGGGCAGGGCCATGCTCCCTCTGGAGCCTCTAGGGGTGGGCCCTGCCATGCCTCTTTTAGCTTCTGGTGGTTTCTGGGCAGTTCTTGGACCTGCTTAATTTGTAGATACCTCATTCCAATCTCTGCCTGTGTCACATGGCTGTCTTCTCCCCGTGTATCTCGATTTTCCTGTGCTGGCCTCCTCTCTTATAAGGACACCATTCATACTGAATTAAGGACCCACCTACTATAGTATGACCTCATCTTAATTAATTACATCTGTTACGACCTTTGTGCGAAATAAAGCCACATTCTGAGGTAGAGGGGTTAGGACTTCAACGTATCCTTTTCAGGGACACAATTCAATCCGTAACAGACAGGGGAAGACATACTAAGTAATTTGGCTGAATTTTTCTCAGAGGGGAGGTGGGTATATGTGTTGGCTGTAAGGAGACTGACTTGGCCCTACAAACATCCAGGCACCTCTGTATCTGGTGGAGGAATATGGCCAAGCGTATTGGGAAACTCTTCCAAGGAACTTTCCCTTCCGCTTGTCTGCTTTCGTCAAGGACCCATCACTCCTCATGCTGGTGCGGTACGTTGAAGGACATGTTATCATCCCCATTTTACAGATGAGAAACCAAGGTTCTGAGAGATAAAATAGTCCATGGTCACCAAGCAAATTCAAGGTGCTGAGAGCCCTGGTCCTTCTGCCTCCCACGCCAGGCTCCAATCTAGCTGGTGCTGTGCTTTGTTTTTTTGTTTCTGTTTCTGTTTTCGGCTGCGTTGGGTCTTCGTTGCTGCGCAGGCTTTCTCTAGTTGCGGCGAGCGGGGGCTACTCTTCGTTGGGGTGCGTGGACTTCTCACTGCGGTGGCTTCTCTTGTTGCGGAGCACGGGCTCCGGAACACAGGCTCAGTAGCTGTGGTACATGGGCTTAGTTGCTCCGTGGCATGTGGGATCTTCCCGGACCAGGGATCAAACCCGTGTCCCCTGCATTGGTAGGTGGCTTCTTAACCACTGTGCCACCACGGAAGTCCTGGCGCTGTGCTTTGGAGGGGAGGCAGGTGGGCATAATCAATGACCACTCGGTGCTATCGGTAAGATTTGAGGAAAGCACGCTGGATGGGGGGCCTGCATGCACCATGAAATCATCAGATTCACCCCTGCTCTGTTCTCTGGTAAGAGACCAAGCCTAGTGCTTTCCGAGCTTTACTGCTTCTTAGAAAGAAAAGCAATTTGGAGGGATGAGGCTCCATGTACTGGCCCCGGGTACACCCTACCTCCTGCCATCCCCAGGTTTGGGAGGCTTGGAAGTGCTGGTTTTCAAACTGCTTTTGAAGCCTGCAGAACCCCCAACCTCTTAAAAAGGAAACATAAGAACCCCGATGTATAAAATGGATGCAAACGGTGCTGAAGGTGGGGGGCCTCCCTGCACCTCCCCAAATGGCCATCCCAGCAAACTCCAGGTCCTGGCCCCCTGGGTGAGAAAATGGCTGAAAACGACTTGGAAACGCAAAAAGCAAGTAGCAAAACGACACCCATGTAAACAAAAGGGCACCCACGTGTTCATCTATTACTTATGAGGTTAAAACGCTCATCAGGAATAGCCTGTGGAGATTTGACATTAAGGAATTACTGTTAAAATGTTTAAAGTTATGCTGATGGTATTGTGGTTATGTCTTTTTAAAATCTCCTTACTTTAGTACATTGTGGGAAAGTTCAGTTGAGATGCTGCTGTGTCTGTTTGCCATCTGTTTCAAAATGAAGTGTGGTAGGGACGAAACTGGGCTGGTCTGGGGTGATGACTGTTGAAGCCTAAGTGGTGGTTACGTGGGGCTTGGTTATATCGAAACTGACATATTTGTACAGCTCAACCTAATTCTATTCCTTCTACTTTTATTATTTTTATTTATTTATTTTGGCTGCGTTTGTTGCTGCACGCGGGCTTTCTCTAGTTGCGGAGAGTGGGGGCTACTCTTCGTTGCGGTGCATGGGCTTCTCACTGCGGTGGCTTCTCTTGTTGCGGAGCACGGGCTCTAGAGCACAGGCTCAGTAGTTGTGGCGCACGGGCTTAGTTGCTCCACCGCATGTGAGATCCTCCCCGACCAGGGCTCGTACCCGTGTCCCCTGCATTGGCAGGTGGATTCTTAACCACTGCGCCTCCAGGGAGCCCCTATTCCTTCTACTTTTGCACATGTTTGGAACTGTCCATCATAAAAAGCGCTTTTAGGCTAAAAAGTCCCACGCAATGAGCAGCGGGGACTTCTGAATTCTTTAAAAGACAATTAGAAGTTGAAGCTCCAGGAGGTGACAGGAGCGGTGCGAAGGTGGGGAGGAATGGGAGGGAGCGGGAACGCAGCCGCGTCCAGAAACCCAACCCGGGTGACCCAGACTTGCTTTCCTCTGCGGCTCGAAACTCATCCCCCAAACTCTGCAGGGTGGCAGGCTGAGCGCTCCCCCGCCATCGGCGCCCCATCTGCCCACCCGTTCATCAGTCCAGCCGTCCGTCGGCCCGACCATCCATCAGGTCAGCTACCTGGCCATGGGTACGTCCAGCTCCAGAGTCCTCTGGCATACCCTCCTCCCCGCTCCGCGCGGCGTCTGCACCCCGAACCTCCCTGCGCAGCTCGCCCCAGCCGAGTCCCGCTGCCCCGCGAAGTGGTGGGCACTCACCGGCTGCACTCCCGGCTGCGCTCCCAGCTGCGCTCCCGGCTTCGCCGCGCTGAGCACGAAACTGAAAGTAGGCGCGGAGAGCAGCCTGGCGACGGGCGCGGGGAGCCGGCTGCCTCTGCCGGGAAATCACGTGGGTTCTCGGTGCCCCGGCCAGGGCGCGAGCGTGGGATGGGCGGGGGCGGCACACGCCCTCCTGCAGGGCCCGCGTCCTGCGCCTCTTGGAGCTCAGCCACCTGTACGGAGGACACCCAGAGACGGCACCAAGGGACGCGGGGAGCGCTCGCCCCTTTCCTGGATGCGATACTGAGGCGAAGGGATGAGGGTTGGCACACCCGGGTCGCGCCAGTAGACCCCGGGCTGAGTTCGGCTCTCCCTGCCTCTCTGGAGACTAAGACGGTATGGGACAGGACAGGAAGGAGATGCTCGCTGTGCAGGAGGAGACTTAGAACCCAGGGGGTCCAGCCTCCTTTTCCTCAGTGCTCTCCAGGATGGAGGGAGGGGAGAAAAGAAAAATGACCATAATTGCCTTTACTGAGCCCTTGGCCCTTTGGACGGTGTTAAACGCTATGAATTTAGGATAGAGGTGAAGGAACTTGTCCAAGTCACACAAGGGACACAGGCAGAGATGAGGAAGAGATGGGACAAAGAGGAGGAGAAGCAGAAGGAGGGTGAGAAGGCTCCCCCAGGCGGGGGTCAGCAGCAGTCCTGAGTGGCCACTAGTCCACTACCCTTTCAGAGCTGACTACAACCTCCCTGGCTTTTTGCATTCCTCCGGGGACAGGAGCTCCTGTCCTGCAGAGGATACATCCATCCCCGTGGACAGGTCTGCCCTCTAGGAAGATCATCCGCCCACCTTCCCACGACATCCCCAGAGTGCAGCAGCTTCCACTCCCAGCTCTTCTATCCCCCTGCCTCTCAAGCCAGCCGGGTGTGTGTGAGTGTGGGTGAGGGCACTGCATGGTGATGGTCACAGGCACAACCATCAGTGTCAGACACCCCTGGCTTCAAGTCCTCCTCTTCAGCTTACTGGCCAAATGCCTTTACTTCGCTGAGCCTGAAGTTTGCCATCTGTAGGATAAGAACCCCTCCACGCAGAGAGGTCACGAGAATCTGATGACCTAAAGTTCAGGCTAATGTAGGCTGTGCCTGAAGCCAATAGGTGTCCTTGTATTTTTGTCTCCTTCTGCTGGTCCCACGTCCCTGTGAGAAGGGAAACTGCTCCCCTTCCAGCACCAACTCTGATATCCAGAAATCACGTGACAGCACGGATTTTGCAGTCAAGTGCTTGTGGGTGATGACCAGCTCCACCATTTCAGGTAAATGCCCTGACTTCCCCAGGTCTCAGTTTGCTCATCTGCTAAATGGGGTATTCCAAGCTTCCCCGGGCCACTGCGGGGCATGGTGGGGAATGGATGAGAATGCGAATGTGGCTGTGACTGGGTGCACAGGAGGGATTATGCCCCAAGATCAGGATGTGCACTGCAGTTCAGCTCATGTTCACTGAACGCTTGCTCCCTATCCAGGCTGAGAAGAGCAGATGGACACGTGGACAAATAACCACAATCCTGAGAGACAAAGGCAGACCGTTTTCAGATGCATTTAATTTTGGACAGCCCCTTGAGGATGGCAGAAGACAAGTTATCCCATTAGGCAGATGAGGAAGCTGAGATTCAGACAGGTCAAGTGAGTTGCTGAAAGTCACACAGCAGTCAGGAGCAGAGCTGGGTCTTAAACCCAATACCCTTACCAGCCTGGAGATACCTGGCCTGCTGAGGTGGTTATCACTGAAGCACTCTGGGAGAGCTACCTTCCCAAATGCTCCCTACCCCCAGCCCGGCCGGTGGCCTGGAGTCCACCATCAGCACATTGCTCCTTTGGCTGAAGGTGTGCACATGCTCCTCTGGTATAAATTAAATGGCCATCCATCATTTACACTGGAGTGTGAACAAGCTAATAAGATTTTATTGGTGGGAGATCAAAGGGAATCTTGGGTGTTTGGATTTGGGGGTAGGAAACACAAGATGTGAGAGTCACGGGGACCAGAGGATGGAGCCCACATTTACTGGGCACCTCTGTGTGCCAGTACCATCTCTGTGGAGTATAGCCAATAGGTGGCATTTGTGAGCACTTCGGCCATACCAGAGAGTGTTCTGGGTACATGGGCTTGCTCCTTTAATCCTCACGGCAGCCCTTTTATCTCCATTTTTACAGGTGAAACAGAGACAGAGAGGGTAACATGCCGAGATTACACGGCTAGCAGCACAGGAGCCGGGATCTGGACCCAGGCAGGGCAGCTCCAGAACCCCTGCTCTTGGTCACCATGTGATACTCCCTCTAGGCTAACACAGTTCTTACCAGAACCCTATGTGGAAGGTATTATTATCATCCCATTTAACAGACGAGGAAACTGAGGCACAGAGGGACCCAAAATTAGTATTTCAGGATACTGGGCTTTGGACCCAGATTTGAAGGCCAAGCCTTCCCTCTGCGTTCCCCATTGCCCAAGGTTGGTCCAGAATACCAGGGGCCTATCCCGTCCTGGGTCAGCAGCCCAGGGGGCAGGATGTGCTTCCACAGGACCTGGCCTTGGGCAGCCCTTGTTTCCTCCCTGGAGGAAACAGCAAATGCCCCCACCCATGCTGGGGGACTTCCTGGTCTTTTGTCGTAGGCCTAGGTCTGAGTTTCTGGGCTTGGATGGAAGGGCCAGGACTGGGAGGGGTCCAGCAAGTTGGTGCTGTCCTGGCAAGCTCTGGGGTTCCACGTCTGTAAGTCCTCCTGTGCAGACCTGGCTGAGATGCTCTCCTGCGCCTGGGGCGGCAAAGGAAGCTGAGGGGCTGCACCTTTCTGGAGCAGAAATGAGCCCCAGGGCCTTCTAGGGTCCCAGCTGGGCTGGGGTCCACAAGGGGCAAGACTCCAAGCAAGCTCTCTGTCTGCCCCTTGTGATGGTGAAAGTTTTCATTTTGGGGAAGGAGCTGCCCGGGGCTGCCAGGTCATCCTGATACTGTCCTTGGGGCATCAAGTTGGGGGCCTGGGCTTCCCAACCCTTTTGGGGGTGCTCTCTTGAGTGGAGTGAGTCTCCCAACTGGTGTCACTATCCTGGAGGCTTACATCCCAAGGCCTGGAATTTCCACGTTGGACTCAGGACTTAGGGACTGGTGAAACCACTCTGACTCTTTGTGCCAGGGGCCCTGCCTTCCAGCCCCCAGGAGCACTCCTGGTCAGCTTAGTGGGTCAGACCCTTTCTTTGGACCCTGAGGGAGGAAGAGAAACAGGCCCAAGAGAGCATTTAGAGGGGACCAAGGAGGAAGGAACCAGGCTCAGAAGATGGTGCCTTCCCCTCAAGTCTTCCCAAACCTGAAAAGGTGTCCCTCTGTGAAGCTCCACCCCAGATCCTGCCTCCTGGCCGTCTCTCCTGCCCGTCAAAATAAAGGCCAGGTCCCCTCTGCACCTTCATGGTGTGGGCCCTGACCTCCTCTCTCTCCCTCTCCTCTTTGCTCTCTGTGCTACTCCGGCCTCCTTTAAGCTTCTTGACTCTCTTATGGTTCCTCCTAGGGACTCGGCACATGCCAGTGTCTTCCTATGCTTTTCCCCCTTCCATTTGGCCAATGCGGCAGCGAGGGATTTTCTTCACACACCTTCCCTGGAGCCTGGTACCTCCCAAGACTGAGATGGCAGAAAGAAGCCTTCTGTATTCTAGCCTGAGTGGGAAGAAGACACGCTTTGCGCATCATAAGGTGGTCTGGCTGGTGCTCATAAGAGGTTACTCTTCCATGTTAAAGTCTGATTTGCTTTTTAGAGGCTCCATCCTCGTCCTCTTCTACCAGAAACCAGACCTCTGTGAGGGCCCCCTACCCTCCCTGCCATCCTCCGGATCTGAAGCCCCTATGGTCCCATATTTCCTATCCAGCACTGGAACCACATGGAACACAGAATGGGTGACACCTCATACAGAAAGCTGGTCAGAACAGGAGATGGGACCTCGGTGGGTGGGTGGGGAAGAGGGCCCAGTGCTGTGGGGGAGGGAAGAGAGACGGTCTGACAGACGCTCTCTGCTGACCGATGGGGAGGTTAAGAAACCCGGCCAGGGCTTCCCTGGTGGCGCAGTGGTTAAGAATCTGCCTACCAATGCAGGGGACACGGGTTCGAGCCCTGGTCCAGGAAGGTCCCACATGCCGCGGAGCAACTAAGCCCGTGCGCCACAACTACTGAGCCCGCGTGCTACAACTACTGAAGCCCGTGTGCCTAGAGACCGTGCTCTGCAACAAGAGAAGCCACCGCCATGAGAAGCCCGTGCACTGCAACAAAGAGTAGCCCCCCGGGCTTCCCTGGTGGCGCAGTGTTTGAGTCCGCCTGCCGATGGAGGGGACACGGGTTCGTGCCCCGGTCTGGGAAGATCCCACATGCTGCGGAGCGCCTGGGCCCGTGAGCCACGGCTGCTAAGCCTACCGTTCAGAGCCTGTGCTCTGCAACGGGAGAGGCCACAACAGTGAGAGGCCCGCGTTTACCGCAAAAAAAAAAAAAAAAAAAAAGAGTAGCCCCCACTTGCCGCAACTAGAGAAAGCCCACGCACAGCAAGGAAGACCCAATGCAGGCAAAAATAAATTAATTAATAAATTTAAAAAACCTCTCCTTAAAAAAAAAGAAAAAGAAAGAAACCCAGCCAGCTCCTGCTCCCTTTCTCTCTACCAAAGCCACACGCACAGGCAGATATTCAAAAAGACAGCAGGGTCAGCTCAGCGTATCCTGTGGGGAAACAGAAAGCTCTGGGCAGGGCCTTCTCCAGAATACCCCCTGCACACCCCAGTCATGGAGCCTGAGACTCCGCCATTAGAGTCATCTCATGTGGACAAATACCCTACAAGGTCAGCATGGAAAGGGAATTTGGGGATCATCAAGTCTAACTCTCTCATTTTACAGGAAGGGAAACTGAGGCTCGGGGCCGGGCATGAACGAGCCTCCCAGCCCAGGGCTCTTCCTGCCACATCAGGTGCCATTAGGAGACCCGTGCCCTTAAGGGGGGCTGAGCTATCCGTGGGGTGGCAGAGACAATATTCTCCAGTGAAGCAGGAACAGGGATCCACGCTCTGGCCAAGTCATGGGTGTGCATTGCCACCCACAGGAGGAGGCACCTTGAGGAAAGGGGACCCAGGACTGCTAAGCTTCGATGACTGGAGAACCAGGGGCACTTGCAGCTCCGCCTGGGAAGGGCCTAGAAGATGAATGAGAGCCTCCCTGTCAGGCATGTGTCCCCAAAGCTCCTCCAGCCCAGACTTTCGAGACATGACCTCACGGGTGCCCACTGTGGTGACCCTTGTCCACAGGAGGTTCTGGGCAGACTCAACACTGCTCCTCAGATGACAAGCCCACTGTGAGTGCTCCCTGGGGCACAGAGGTGACCCATGGGGCAGACGGCCCCACAGCCTGCAGGGCCTTCATCTATATGCCCATGAAAAACTCCATCTCAACCCACCCTCTCTTCCTGTCCCCACCCCCCAAATGGTACCTCTCCCGAGTGGTCCCTCCTAGGCCCTGGGGAGGGCTGTGACTGCTTCCCATCCAAGGAGCCAAGGCCCGGCGCGCGGCCAGCTGGCCAGCGCTCTCCTGCCCTCCCCACCCCTTAATCCACACCACCAGGGTTCCATTTCTGCAATCTCAGCGTCGTCCCAACAGACACACAGGCAGAAGGGTCACAAGATAAGGGAGGGATCATCTGGTCCCGTTGCCTGATTTCCTTTAGGACTCTGTGTCCACCTTCTTTAAGACATGAGGTACATAGGGCTTATTTTTTGGCCGCACCCCGAGAACCCTTGCCCCCTACAGTGGAAGTGCGGAGCTTTGACCGCTGGCCGGCCTGGGAAGTCCCGCTACAGCGCTCATTTCTCCAGGTGCACCCAAGACCACCTACCTTGGTCAATGTGGAAAAAGTCAGTTTAATCCTGAAGTCAAAAAGATGAGAATTTGGCCCTCCATTGTGCTCCCAATCCCCCAGAAAAGAAACTCTAGGAATTATTTCAAGTGTTTCCGTCTATATTTAGGGCCCTCCACAGAGAGCCCTTTTGAGCTCTCTCATGAGATTTGCCGTTCCAGCCACCAGGCCTTTGCTCAGGCAGGCCCTTCCTCTGGCTATGCCCTCCCTCCCTCCTTCATGGTGCCTCTTCCTCTGAATTAAGACTCTAGGAGGAGTCTTCTCCCCCCAGAAGTCAGGTCCTAAGTCCTGGAAGGAAGGAGCCATATTTCCCCACCAATATCCTGTGCCTGACATAAGAGGGACAAGGGAGGGATTTGCTGAGTCAACCACTCACCCCTCTCTGCAGACATACTGGGAATCCAAGAGGCTTAAGTTCTCCTTCCTGGAGCAGGAGGCCTGGGTGGTAGTGATGGTGTGTGGTCAGGCCACTCGAGAAGTTCTCTTGTTTTTTTGTACATCCCGTGCTCGACCAGATCCCGCTTCACCTCCACCCCACTCACGTTAACGCATTTGCCCCGCCCTCCACGCCCCCCACGCCCCGCCCCGCCCAGCTAGTGCTTGTTTTAATCCTTAGGCCAGAGTGGCTCCACCTGCTAGTTTATTAAAGGGAAACAACTGCCCTCCTGATGGTCCTTAACCTGAGGGTCAGTGAGGGACACGCCCCAGCTGCTGGTTCCCCTGGTAACTGATGACCCCACCTGATGTCAATTACGCTATGAATGGTAGCCTCCTTCTCCCCGCCCCACCCCCGCCCTGTCCGGCATTAACCAGTGAGGTGTCGCTCCAGAACCTTTTGCTTAAGATACCCTGTCCAAGATCCCCAATGGTCTTGAGGTTGGGCAACTACAAGGCTCCCAGGCCTGCACACTGCAGCCCACAGGTGGTATCCTGGGGAGAGAAACCAGGTTCCCTGTGAGCAGGGGCCCTTCTCAGAGCAGAGAGCAACCCCCAAGCCCAGGACCCTCAACTCTCTGTGCTGAGTGATGGGAGAGGTGTGGGGAGAGGTGGACCCTGGGGACTCTTGGGGTCAGCCTAGCATTGATATTCTACAAACAAAAGGGAGTTCCCCAGGACCTGCCGCGTGGGGATTCTGTGGCACGTCCTCTCCTGGATTCTCACTCATCCACATTCCCAACAGCTTCTTCCTGGTTTGAACCTGCACCAGGACTTTCCCGCGTGGCTCACTTCCTCCACCTTCGAAATGAAACCATCAGCAAAACAAGGTGACACTTCATCTGCTGGCAGTTGGATTTAGCTGCATTTTTACATTCCAGAGACCAAGTATGGATCCTCAACCAGGAGCATTAGCTTTACCACCTGGGAGAGAGCTTGTTAGAAATGCAGACTCACAGGCCCTACCCCAGGCTCACCAAACCAGAAACTCTGAGGATGAGCCCAGGAATCTGTGTTTTAACAACCCCTGCAGGTGATTCTGATACAGGCCAAAGTTTGAGACCCATAGCACTAGATAACTTTCAAATAGCCTCTTGATTTGGGGTTAGGAGTTGTATAAGCACCCAACCACCCACCCCTTTTTGCTTCATAGCTCCAGGCACAATTAGTGGTTATATAGTCTTTTGTTTGCCTAGATATTATCTATCTCTGCCTATGTCCCCTAGACTATAAGCTTCACAAAGTCATGAACCATATGGGCCTGGCTCAGAGTAAGAACTCAACAGATATTGTTGAAAATCCATCCATCCATACATAAAAATGCTGGGGCCACAGAAAATGTTGACTCTGATATGAATGTGACATGTGACCTTGAACAAATGTCCTTCTAGTTCTCAGCCTCTGGACCTCCCTTTGTACAGTGAAGGGGTGGGTCCAGCTGACCCTTGAGGGCCACGCCGCTCTCTACCATTTTAGCAGAGGCTCAGTTTGACGCCTCCCCAATCCAGCCATCCCGCACCAGCGCCAACCAAGGCATCTCCTCCCACACCCCACCCCAAAGCCTTCTGGAGCTTCTACTGCTTCCTTCTGGCCTTTAAGTCTCCTTGACATGATCTCAACCTAACTCCTGGCCTGATCTGCAACTCCTTTACCCCCAAACAACCCTTCCCTCAGCCACGCTGGGCTTCCTTCCTCCCCCGGTCCTGTCACTGCTGTTCCCCAGGCAGGACACCTGCGCTTGGCTCTCTCCCTGCCCCTTAAGAGCCAGTCCAAACTGCCTTCTGGAAGCACTCCAGTACATAGAAGTCTTGGTTAATAGATTCCTAAAAAGCATGTATGTCCACAGTCAGACTCAAAAGCAAGAAGGGAAGTCCTCAGGACCCAGAAACAACAGGGGACTCTGAGAAAAGTCAGGGGAGGGGAAATGAAATGGGATATTCTGGGAGGTGGAGTTTACAGCTGGGTGTTAAGAGTACTCTAAACTTTTCAGATTCCTAGATTAAAAAAAAAGTAAATAATACAAAATTTTAAAAGATTAAAAAAAAACAACCTAAATGCAGTGTGCTAACCTGGATTGGATCCTGGGACAGAAAAAGTCTATCAGTGGAAAAACTGGTGAAATTCAAACAAAGTCTGAGTTTGGTTAATAGCAATATACCAACATTAATCTCTTAAGTTACAACAAATGTGCCATGGTTGTGAATGACCGTGGTGGTTTTTTTCCCTTATACTTTTCTCTGTTTTCCACTCTGTGCCTACATTACTTTTTTTTTTTTTTTTTTTTGCCTACATTACTTTTGTCTGCCGTTTTCATGTATGAAGAAATATTGAAGACATGCAGAGGGGCATTAGGAGTAGTACTGATCATCAATTCCTTACCTACAATGACAAAATCAAACACGCTCTGAAGACTACAAGTTTCTTTCTTAAGTTTGTCAGCAAACCTGGCCATTTGGATGGAAGGCTGTTTATAGTACTTATCTTGCTTTATGTGAAAATTCATATGCAGAGAAATGTCAGTGGACTTGACTGTGGGGTGCCACCCCAGACCCCATGCGGGTGTCCCGCAATATATCCAGTGTGCATGTACCTGTACTACCTTCTAAAATACACAAAATTCTGGATTTGGAAAGTCATGTGGCCCTAATGGAGATGGACAGTGGTTTGGGGACCTATGTTCCAAACACCCACGTCCCACTACCCAGGTTAAGATATTACTAAAACTGTCAAAACTCCCATGTGTACCCCATTCATAACTTGTATTGTGTGATTTTGATGATCAGGAGGAGCCATGTTTTAGAAACAACCAGTCACAGCAGAAGCAGTGAGAAGAACTTGGAGGTTTCAGAGGTCCATCTGTGGAGGGGTTGCCAACTACCGGCCTCCCCATCTCCCTGCCTTCCTCTGTCTGTACCCACTTCACCTCTTCAAGTGTAAGCCTCAGGGACTTCCCTGGTGGTCCAGTGCTTAAGAATCTGTGCTTCCAATGCAGGGGGCGTGGGTTCAATCCCAGGTCGGGGAACTAAGATGCCACATGCTGCTGCTGCAGTGTAAGCCACAAAAAGTTGGCTGCCTGGGCGTAGGGAGGGGAATTATACCATCAGTGGAGAACCATGATACCCTTGTTCTGACAGTAGAGCTTGCACATCCTGAGGCTGTAGACAGTTACCTGGGCCTGGTTGGCGGGGAAGCTATGGGAAAGCAGTGGGAGACACAGAGGGGGTCCCATGGCTAGGATGGGGGCCCATCAGAACAGCTGTGGCCACTGCCTCTGGAGACAAAAGGGACAAAGCTGACTCGGGGTTCCCAGGGCTGAGAAAAAAAGGAAGCAGCTAGGGCAGTGGCTGGGGCCCAGGCCACCCCATCACTAATTTGCCAGTGACCTGGGCATCACTCTTGCCCTCTCTGGCCCTTGGCTTTCTCACCTGTGTGATAGTGAAGTAATCCCTTGCCCTGCCCACCTCTTAGTGTGTGGAAAGGCCTTCTGTGCCTCAGTTTCTTCAGCTGTAAAATGGGGATAATAATAGTACCTACCTCCGAGGGTTGTTGCAAGGATTAAATGAGAGAATCAACATAAAGAACTTACAGAAGGACCTGCGCATGGTTACCCTCCAAAAGAAGCCGCCGTTGCTTTTGTGTAACAATAGTCACGAAACGCTGACTATGCTTCAGCCCCGGGTGAGGATATGCGGGGCAGCGCAGAGCTCAACAGACCTGGTCTCTACCTTCAGGAGGCTCAACATTTATCAGATAATCCCAGAACTAAATGTAAAATGGCACCTGAGGAGCGTCTTAAAGGATGGATCCACCGGGCTGTGGTTTGAGAGCCCTGGAGAGCAAATCTCACCTAGTTAGGGAATGGGGAGGCCCTCTCTGAGGCTAAGGAGTAATCAGATGGGGCAAGGAAGAGGGGACACCTCTGGGCAGGGGGGCACAGCATGTGCAAAAGCCCTGTGGTGGGTGGGGAACATGGTCAATGCACAGAGTGCACAGGCAGCCAGGGGCTGGGAAGTACGGCCCGAGGCGGCCTGGGCAGGAGGGCAGGACCTCCGATTTTGCAGACTGTTGGGCTAGGCTCAGGGAGACCTCTCTCCATCAAAAAATTGAACCAATAGGTACCTTGCAACGAAATGTTTTATTTAATACACAGCTGAGCTCAAACAAAAGAAAGGGACAATCCCAGATACTAAAGATGAAGAGGGAAATGAGAGCTAAAACCATAAGTAAGGTGGCCCAGAGAGACAGGCACTGGATGTGGGTTCAGACCACAGTAAAATGGGGTTTTAACACTATCAGAGGGAGAGAAGTGAGAGGACGGGGGATGGAAATACCTCCTCTCAGTGAAAAGGAGACCAAATGACTTCACCCACCAAAGGAAGCCACAAGAAACGTCAAGGTGGGTCTGGGAGGCTATAATTTGAGAACCCGAGCCTGCAGCTCGGGTTCAGCATAATTCAGATGTGCAGCTCTGAATTATGTATGCATTTATACTGCCAGCATGGTGCAGGACTTTCTGAACTGAGAAATGGACCTACAAAGCCAGGAAGGAAGGAATGATGTAACCTTTGGGGTCCCTGGCAGTAATAAGTGCAAAATTATTCTCTAAGGAAATGTGGGTGATTCAGGGAGCAGAGTCTGTCCACAGAAAAACCAAATTCCACTAAAGGTGAGCTTCTAAGAAAATAAATATTACAAGCCACACAAGGAAACCACGAGAGAGAGCTAGCAAACACAACCAGCAAGAGGATAAGCACCTCAAGGCTCTGACATGAGAGAACATGGAAGAAACTACAAAGGAACTAATTTTTCAATGATTAAAGAAATAGAGCCATAATGAAAGCATAGGACTCCAGGGGGGAAAAACAAAAGATAGATTTGAAAAGGAAAACTTGAAAATAAACTCAAGAAGATGTGGAGAAAAGGGAACCCTTGTGCACTGTTGGTGGGAATGTGTATTCATGCAGCCACTATGGAAGACAGTATGAAGATTCCTCAAAAATTAAAAATAGAACCACCATGTGATCCAGCAATTCCACCTCTGGGTATCTTTCCAAAGAAAACAAAAACACTGATTCAAAAAGATATGCACCCCCATGTGCACTGCAGCATTATTTGCAAAAGCCAAGATATGGAAGCAACCTAAGTGTCCATCAATAGTTGAATGGATAAAGAAGATGTGGTATAACAAATATTACTCAGCCATGAAAAATAATGAAATCTTGCCATGTGCAACAACATGGATGGACCCAGAGGGTACTGTGCTAAGTGAAATAAGTCAGACAGAGAAAGGCGAATACCGTATGATTTCCTTTATACGTGGAATCTAAAAAACAAAACAGATGAACAAACATAACAAAACAGAAACAGACTCGTAGATACCCAGAACAAACAGGTGGTCGCCAGAGGGCAGGGGGCTGGAGGGATGAATGAAATAGGTGAGGGAGACTGAGGTACAAACTTCCAGTTATAAAATAAATGGGGACTTCCCTGGTGGCGCAGTGGTTAAGAATCTGCCTGCCAATGCAGGGGACACGGGTTCAAGTCCTGGTCTGGGAAGATCCCACATGCTGCGGAGCAATAAGCCCGTGGGCTACAACTACTGAGCCCACGGTCCACAACTACTGAAGCTCATGTGCCTAGAGCCCGTGGTCTGAAACAAGAGAAGCCACTGCAATGAGAAGCCCGTGCACCACAACGAAGAGTAACCCCCGCTCAACACAACTAGAGGAAGCCTGCGCTCAGCAACGAAGACCTAACGCAGCCAAAAATAAATAAATAAATAAATTAAAAAATAGAATAAAATAAATGAGTCACATGAATGAAATGTACAGCATGGGGAATATAGTCAATAATATTGTAATAACTCAGGTGATAGATGGTACTTAGACTTATCATGGTGATCATTCTGTAATTTATAGAAATACTGAATCGCTATGTCGTGCACCTGGAACTAACATAGTGTTGAAGGTCAATTATACTTCAATTTTAAAAAATGAACTTAATAGAATTTCTAGAAATGAAAATTATTAATTTTAAAATGAAAAACTCAGTGAATGAGTA